CTTTATTATTGAAAACTTCAATGTGTTTGTGGTGTATGTGTTTTCATTTGGTTAGTCCTCATTTTCGTTCGTACCTATGTTGTCTGACACATATATTTTAAAGGTTTCTTTGACATGGATAACTAATGTTCGAGACCTGATGATGGAGTTAATAAAGTCCGAAACGTTGGCATAGAACTAAAATATTTATTTACGAACATTTTTGATCCCTTTCCCAACCAACAGAAAACACCGCATTTGATTATTGAACACGTTAATGAAGTAATTTTACCTGTGACATTCAGTGGAAGCATGAATGAAGGGGGGTTATTTTGTTTCATTAACTTATTTATTTTGTTTCATTACTTCATTAATTTGGTTTCTGTCGATTAAACTTGTAGACATTATTTTCGAGTGGTTTGACAATTATTATTCAACATCGAGTACTAAAGGCATTGATGCCGATGAAACAATATCCTTTGATACCAAAACTACATCATTCAGATTTCACTACATTCAATATTATTCTTGGTCAGTTTTTCTGTGGAGAAAACCATCAGGCCTGTCATCACTTCAGCTGTCTTTTGAAGATCTGTCTGTTTGTTTTGTTTTTAGAGATATGTTTCCTTCAGATAAATGATCGACTTGTACATATACCGGCAACTGATTTGTCGAATTTGGATGTTTTGTCTTTTTAATTTGTGACTAACTTTCCCAACATCTGTTCTATAGTGTGTAAAAGCCAAATTGAATAAATTCATTATTCAGGTTATGGTACATATTTTAACAAAATCCCGAAACACGTCAAATTTAAATTAGAATTTGACATACTTCAACGTAAAAATGCAAACTCTACTTTCAACCCCCGTCGAATAACAAGTACAATTACCAATTTTTCAAATAGGAAGTACAGGCTTGTGATATATCGTTTAGAAAGTATCTTCATTCTCTATTCAAAAATGTTAACGCTTTCACGTTTATTGCAACAATTAAGATAAAATAAATTGAAATCATTAGGTTACCGAAATTCGATAAAATACACTCAAAGCTTATTGCAATATACTCAAAACTCATTTCATGTTGAGGTATTGATAATAAGAAAGTAAGCAAAAATCATAGCAATGTTCTTTCTAGATGGTATCCTTGAAAAAACTGTAAATAATTTCTGTGGCAACGTTAGTTTAAAACGTCTTGTCAACTTGTTTCGTATGTTACATTGGTTGCCAATATTTCAATTTGAGTTTGAAGTTCGTTAACTTCAAGTCTGACAAATGGTTGGATTAACATTGGTTACGGAGATAAAACCCGAACACAGCAGGAAGTAGCTCGCCTATTTCATGAGAAATTTTCTGATTTACTGCCCATATAATAATAATAATACGTTTTTATTCACCATAAAAATACAAATATAATGGACAAAAATAAAATAAAACAGTATACAGGAACAATCAACAAAAACAAAGAAAAAAACTTCCAGTATATGGTGAACAGGCGGAGTATCAGCCAAGGCTGTTTTTCAACCCAACGTAGAACAATAGACAAAAGAGAGAAGCAGTTTCGCGAGCTTGGTTATGTGGAGCAGATGAAAAAAGCAGCTGCCAATGTAATGAGTGATGAACTCAAATCACATGTGATGCTTGAGTTTGAGGAAAACCCACATTCATCGAGTAGACAGGCATCCAGTAGATTCAATGTTAGCCATATATCGATTGAAAGAAATGCATCCCTATAAAATGACACCTACTTAGGAGCTAATGAAAGACGATTTTGATTGAAGAACTTATTTTTGTGAGCAAATGATGAACATGTTGGATAACAACAATTAGAAGACGTTATGTTTTCTGATGAGTGTACTTTGTTTCTTAACTGTCATGCTAATCGGTAAAATTGCCGCTATTGGTCAACGGAAAATCCTCACTGAATGAGAGAAGAACACACGAAATACCCTCAAAAGGTTAATGTTTGGACAGGAATTGTAGGGAACCATATTATTGGTCCCATTTTCATTGAGGGCAACTTCAATGGCGATAAATATTTGACACTACTTCAAAATGATGTCGTTCCAAGTTTAGCAAATTTATATCCTGATCCAGGAAACCCTCAAGTTCCAGTGAATACGATATGGTTTTAGCAGGATGTAGCAACACCACATTACCGAGTTAATGTCCGGCAATACCTCGATACAACATTTCTCAATCGGTGGATAGGAAGGCGAGGATCGATTGAGTGGCCAGCGGGATCACCTGATCTTTCATCATTAGATTTCTATTGATGGGGATATGCAAAGAGCAATGTGTACAAAACTGAACCGTCAGATTTGAATGACTTAAAAAAACGAATAACGCTTGCAATTAGGTCGGTCACGACTGATATGTTAAATAATGTTAAAAGACAGTTTTATTTGAGATTAGGATGTTGCCAAGACGTTAACGGTGAACATTTTGAACATCTGCATGGAGGAAGTAAAACATATTTTCAATGAATCCTTGAGAACAGGTACATTTCCTGAATTGTGGAAAATTGCCAATGTCATTCCGATACCTAAAATATCCACACCTAAAAGTTTTAATGATATTCGTCCCATATGCATCTTACCTACATTTTCCAAACTTTTTGAAAAAAATACTTTCTCTACAGATCAGACAATACCTAGATTTCAATAGTATCTCACCAGAAGTACAGTCTGGCTTTCGTTAGAAACATGGTACACATACGGCTCTATTGAAAGTCATAAATGATATATGTACTTATGGTGATAAATCTATACCGTCGATCCTAGTTCTCCTGGATCAAAGCAAAGCCTTCGATCTTGTCAATTTTCAGCTTCTTCTTGCGAAATTAAAATTCATAGGGTTTCAAGAAAGAGCTTTGGAATTGATGAATAGCTATATCCGAGGTCGATCACAAAGAGTAACGCTTGATAATAACCTGCTATGCTCCTCCCTTAAAGAGACTATTTCTGGAGTACCCCAAGGTAGTATTCTTGGGCCCTTATTATACGAAGATCTACAAAACACTCAAGTTTATTCTGAAAAACATGGCTTGCGTATCAACCCAAACAAAACTGTTGCAATCTGCTTAGGCCCTCAGAGACAGACTTATCAGATCAAACAACATAGTCAGTTCTTCAAACTGAAATCACTTCAAAAATTTAAATAGATAGATAGATAGATCTTCATTTAAATAGGATATCCTAATAATATACAAATCAACTAGAATGGTAGAAATAAATAAAAAGGTATGTGTTACATCTAGAAATGACTTAAATGTATGACAAACATAAATTCAATAAAATATTTTTAAAGACATTACTACAAAAACAGCAACATTATACATTCGAAAAATTTCAATGCAACATGTAGAAAGATAAATTACATAATTATTTCAAATATATAACGAACATTAGATGAATGGAATTATACAAATTACAGCTACAGGTAACAAAGACATAATACATATCATATTTGTTCATTTAAAACAAATTTCTTCAGTTCATTTTTGAACATGTTCAGAGATGGGCTATTTTTAATTGCATTAGGTAATTCGTTGAACCGATCAAAACCCTTGAAAAACAATGAGTTCATAGTATTTTTGTTTTTTGTTCTGTTAATATATAAGTTATTATTATTTCGAGTGAAGTGGTGAAAGACAATATACTGATTAAAATAAGATGGTCCTAAATTGTTCAATATTTTGTATACGAAGATCATTGTGAAGTATAGCAGTCTTTGGGAAATGGATTGCTACAATGTCCTCTCTCTCATAAAACAAAATGTAGGGTGTCTCCAGAGGCTCCAATAAATATTATTTGCATTACTCAGCAGGAGGGGTGAAAGATAGCCATACGCTAACCCCTAACTTTTGTGTGTAATTTATGCACAATAAAGCTATTATTATTATCATTATTATTGATATTATTATTATCATCATTATCTACTTCGTTAACATCCAAAGTTCTTCATTTCGTTTTGCATTACGTTTCAGATTTTGAGTGTATTTTATCGCATTTCGGTAACCACATGATTTACATTTATTTTATCTCAATTGGTGCCGTAAACTTGAAGGCGATAACATTTTTGAATAGAGAATGAAGAGACCTTTCAAATGATATATCACAAACCTATACTTCCCATTAAAAAAATTGTACCTGTCATTCGAATGGGGTTGAGGATAGGGGTGGCTTTTCTATGTTGAAGAATGTCAAATCATAATTTACATTTGATGTGTTTCGGGATTTTTTTTTGTACAGTAACCGGAATAATAAATTTGTTCCATTTAGCTTTTATATACTGTATATGCGAAATAAACAAGATATTAAAATTGCATATAGAACAGATAAAACGGCGTTGGGGAATTGAGTCAAAAAATGATAAAAACAAAACATTCAAATTGGGGAAATCAGGAGTATATAAATTAAATTGTGTAACTTGTCCTGAGGTATAACAATATAAAGAATTTTCTCGAAAACGCACGTATTGATTACCAAAATTTTGTATGAAAAACATATTTATTAACCCAAATTTGCCATTCCAACACCTGCAAAAAATTACAATTGGGTTTTTCAACATGTTTGTATCTGCAGAAAGTGAAATCACCCAGAAAGGCGTACTTATTGACGAAAATATAAACGACCAAAATAATCTAACTCGACTCAGTATCAACACCAACAACAATCCGCAGCCTCCCGAAATCCGCCTCGATCTGGCAACGCCGCGTAACCGAGCTCGTGATCCGTAGTCTTTAAAGTTGGTAGCAGTGCGACGGCGATCCCTACCGAGGCGTCGCGACGCAATCCGAAACAGCCGGCTGGGCGCAGTCTGTGTGTGAACGCCGCCGAGTGAGAGTGCAGCCCCTAAAGTCCGGCATGGGGCTTGAGGGGGGGGAAGCGGCTCCCCTCTCGTGATCCGCCAACATTTCCCGCTTCGAACTGGTGGAGAAATGGGGGCTGACCCCTGTCCTCAAACCGAGGCAGGACCCAAAGCCCCCTGAAGGTGCCAGGTAGGACAACCACTCCCGTTTTTGATCCTCGCGGATGCTGTGTCCCTGCTCTCGGGCACGATCCTTGTCTCCCCCAAATCCCCACACGTAGAGTAGCCCGAAGAACTGGTCCGCATGACAGCACAGATGAAGATGCCGACAATCTTGTATTTCGCGTCGGTTGAGGGAAAATCCGCGATTATGTACGCTGGAAATAAGCCAAAGTTCATCTGCAATACAGTTTGATTCATGAAATGCAGCGCTATCAAGCTAGCGGCGATATGTCTCCCTTGAAACAGTTGAAACATAACCTAGCCACCTGCGATCCTTCCACTCTTCCATTCTGAGCGTTTCATGAATGACATCAGGCCCTTTTTTGCCTTTTTGTAGTATAGTTTATCTCAGAATCGGCTCTTTGCTGATCACAGGGCGTGGTGTTTGTGCCGGGATGATACACGAATTTCATGTGAGTACTAGATGCAGGATGAGTGTTTTGAATGTGTCAAATGTCAACTGGCAGAGAGGAGGTGCTCCTGCCGTAGTATTGTCGATATTGACGACGGGATGGGGCCTTTGTGAAGGTAAGAGTAATGCCGTTTTGATAATTGGTGCCGGAAGATCGATGATATCTCTGTGTCGGGACTCTACAGCATCTCTGAGCGAAACCGACATGAGTTTGCTTCAGTTGAACGTGAAATATCACAAAATTATCCAGGAATTCAGTGTCAGATTTTTGTTGGATATATTCAGTGTTCTATCAATGAAATATCACATGAAACTCCATTAAATTTTCGAATATAGATTACATATTTATTCCGAACAATAGCACATTACTTGGAGAATGGTTTTTCATTCGAAAAATTTAAAAATGTTTCTATTATAACAACTCATGTCGAATAGAAAATGAACAAACTATTTGAAACTATTTAATTGAGAATGTTCAAAATAATTTCTTAAGGAATTGTGCTTTTCACTTTGGTATTCAACGAAACGAATATGAGTACAGTCAACTCTCAACCAAGTTGAATATAAAATCATTCATCTTCAAATTAATAAATAGTGAGAAAAACTGATCAGAACTACTTCCACTAATAACTTTTCATATCAAACAAAAAGATACGAGAAATCCTTCACATAATTTTTTTCCATACCAATTATGCTTTGAACAGTCCGATTCCTCGTATTCTGAAGCTGGGAAATCAATAACATAATAACTTGGATCTGTTTAATGTGTCGGGGCTTTAAAAATTCAAAAGGCTATAGCGTTTCCAAAGCTTTTCTGTACCTCAACATTCTCTTTGTTACATCAGATCTGTTACATCTTTTTCCTTGTAACTTGCAGAATTGTTTCATTTTTTAGTAATGTAGTCACTAGACGAAGGATTTATTTCACACTTCGCTAAATATTTTGTAGAATTGCAAATTGTAATGTAGACATCAGACATGAGCATTTAAAAATACTTTGTAGTTCCTCACACTTTGTTAAATATGTTTTTGTAAATTGACTTTGCCGTTGAATAAATGAATAAATAAATATAAACAATACGCAATTACACTGTTCTACCAGTGCTAAATCAATAACATTACTTTGAGAGTGGTTTTTCTGTCAAAAATAAATCGATCACAAAACAATCTTTTTATTACTGTTGGAAACATGAAAAGTATGAAAAGGCATTTTTGATAAACAAATAGACAAAGCATAAATAAACATAATGTCAAAACAATACGCAGTTTACATTCAAAGAGGTATATTTTTAGAAGAAAATAGTTTTGGGAAAGACATTTTTTGGCTTTCTACTTCATCTTCATACAGGAAAATGTGGGGATATTTCAAAGAAAGGATCAAACAATTCAAAAATAAACTCTTTACAAAAATGTGTAGATCATGCCATGAAGATTACAGCAAGGCATTTGACACTCTAGATCATGTGATATTGTGTGACAAACTTGCCTACTTCGGTTTTTCTCGGAAAGCAATGTCTCTCTTAGAAAACTATCTGAAGAATCGTACTCAAAGAGTTGTTGTGGATGAAGTTATTTCAGATGCTCTGCCGGTATTGAAGGGAGTGCCACAAGGATCTATCCTTGGGCCCTTGCTTTTTAGCTTGTATATTTGTGACTTTTATCTGTCCGTGAAAAAATGCAATATACATCACTATGCAGACGACACGCAGTTATATTTCTCTTTTTCGCCAGACGAGTCTACATCTGCTCTGTCGCATACTAATAACGATCTCCAAGCCATCTTTGACATTTCTACTGCCCATAAGCTCAAGCTCAATTCAGACAAATCCGCAATAATGATGTTCGGAGCTAAGAAGAACAGAGAGCTTACCAAATCTACCTCTCAAGTTCGCATCGAAAACGATATACTTCCCTCCGTGGACGAGATAAAAAATTTATGATTGTGGTTTGATCTGGATCTCCGCTTTACTAAACATGTCAGCTATCTGAACCAATCTTCTATTAACGTTCTCAGACAGCTTTTTCCTAATCGTGATTTGCTCAACACAAACTTAAAACTCAGACTATGCGAGTCTCTGATTATGTCAAAAATTTCCTATTGCGATAGTATTTATGGACCTGCTTTGAAACAATCGGACACTCTCCGACTACAGCGTATTCAGAATAGCTGTCTACGTTTCTCGTTTGGTATTCGGAAATATGACCATATATCCCCAGCAATGCAAGAATCAGGATGGTTAAATGTTGGGAAACTTAGAACTCTACACCTTCTTACCAACACACATAAAGTTTTGATAACTCGACAACCTGATTACTTACTGAAGAAGCTTAAAACATTCTCTACGATTAACAGCTTTACTACAAGGAACAGTTCAGTTCTAGTCATCCCCAAACACAAATCTTCCATCTTCACCCGCTGCTTCTCGTATAATGCACCCAAATATTACAATCAACTACCCTGCGAATTTCGATCATACACCATCGTAAACTTTAAAAAAAGACTGAAGACTTATTTATCTCATTAGCCTCTGGCCCGTTCCCGACCTTGGCATTTCTAAAATGAATTTTCTAAAGTAAAGCAATAACTAAAATTTTTTGATATTGTTAACTCGACTTGTGTTTCTCCCAGGTTGAGTTGAAAAACAGCCTTGGCTGATACTCCGCCTATTCACCATATACTGGAAGTTTTTTTTTTTCTTTGTTTTTGTTATTGTTCCTGTATTCTGTTCTATTTTATTTTTGTCTATTCCATTTGTATTTTTATGGTGAATAAAGACGTATTATTATTATTATTATTATTATTAAGTAACTTCCAGTCACAAAATGGAAGAAAAAGCCCTATCGAAACAGTTACTTTCATATAAACATTGAGTTATACAAGAAAACTCTTCTTTCTATTCAGCTTCTAGTCCAAACATTCGTTAAGGACTGCTACACAATGTAGTAAATGAAAGAGATGAAATTTCACTTACATTGTAGTCCTTAACGGTTGACATCTGACGTTTCGAAACACGATAATTCCTTTATTCCGTCTTCAGCACTTCAAGATGAGGCACTCAATTCATTCATTGAATCACGACTTTATGTCACGAATGAGTTGAATCTACTCGTGTCATCGGTTCGATGTCAGTGCGTAATGACATTCATTCGCTTATTTGATTCAATCCCAGGCATAGGAATTTTGTTTGATTTGAAAGGAGTATATTTGAAGGAGGGATTAATTTTTGGGGAAAAAGATTTCGGCTTTCAACTTCTTCATTTTCATGCAAAAAATGTGGAAATCTTCTGAAGAGAGGAAGGTAGCAATCAATTTCGAAATAAACTTTTAACAAAGATCTGTAGATCGTGCAAAGAAGTAACTTTCAGACACATACTGGAAGAAAAAACCCTCTTGAAACAACTACTAGCACATGGTAATTGAATTAAACGAAAGAAACAATACTTTTAAAACAACTATTCCTTAATGAACATTGAATTATAAATTATATAAGGATGGAGTAGTAGAAGGTTAGAACTTTTGTCTCCAAAAATATGCAGTTACACTGTAGTTATCAGTATTGAATCTGTAAAAAGTGTATCGATCACATAAAAACATGATCATTCCATTGTGAATTTTTATTATGATAAACATATCAAGCAAAATATACTAACATACTGACAAAGCAAAGTTCAATCATACTGTTCTACTGGTGAAATTTCATTTTGATATTTACTCATTGAACAGTCTTGGTTTTCATCTCATTCCAATTTCAACCTTGAACTGATCTTTTCAGTAGATTTTCCCCGTTTGATCCATATCGAATATTGTTTCAACAAATTTAAAAAGACTGTATTCAGTGGTGAACACAAAAACATTTCAAAATTCTTCCACATGAATGATGATTGAATATAAACATACTATTCCAAACAGCAATTATACTAATTGATACAGTTTATTGAATAATTTTCATTATAAAAGGTTTTACAAAAACCGCGACATGAGTTTCGCTATAAAATAACTTTCTCAAGCGTAAACTTTACGCTTTTGGGTATTTTTAACTTCCACAATCTGACAAATATGAAAATTAAAATAGAGAACTTCATACAAGTGATATACGTCTAAAAGGTTGAGAAATAAATAATAGGCAAAGGAGTAGCAGCATATATCTTTGAATTTTTGGTCCATTTCTGAAGACGGTGGCAGATTTTTGGCCTCCGAAATGTTAATATAAGTACTGTATTTATTTTTTGTTGAATACGACAAGATACTGATAAATAAGTGCCGTTGTAAAACTATACTATTTTCGAAATCCAAATTGCGTTATAGGTAGGTAATCAATGAATACTGGTCAATAATATGAATACTGATCAATATGTTTCGTTAATAATTGTACTTCTATAGCCCTTTCGAGTACCTTCGATAAAGTTGGCAGGCACTTATTGGACGTACAACTTTGAATTCAAGTGGATTTGACTTTTTAGGCAATATTTTTACAACGGCTTTTCCAAAGTTCAGAGAAAATATGATGAGTTAAACTCGGTGTAACTGAATAAGTGTAAAACATTTAAGGAGGTGATTCCTCATCGAAAAAAAGATAGGATCTTTCATATAAAGAAACTTCATTGGATCATCCCTTGTTAAGGTATAGCCCCTTAAAGGGGGTACATCAAATTTGTATAACAATTTTTTTCACAAGCACTAAAAAAGTTACAGTATTGAAATTAACCTGACGTTTAATAGTACCAAAAAAACACTTAGACAGTAAATTATTTGGTTTACCCCATGGTTGTAAAGGGTGGGAAACGCAACCCCTAAAATTTATTTCCAATGTAACTTTTTGTCTTATTATTTGTTTACCATTTAAAAATTTATTTCCGATAGCCTGTTTCATTTTAAACAAAAAATGTCTCTTGGATTTTTGCCCAAAATAAACCAGTTCGCAGCAAAATATTATTTTACGAACAACTTCAGAGATACATCGTCATAAATGCAAACTGGATTTATTGTTATTTTGTTAGTAC